TTATGTAACAAAATCTCAAAACAAATCAGAAAATTATAAAAGTCCTTAATATGTCCATGTTTCCCTCAGGGATTAAAATTTAAAAGAAGTTAGGGAGAAAATAAAGAATTGGAGAACAGGAAGAAATAAGTAAGGCTGGAGGGCAAAGGAGGATCATGCTACTTTGGGAAACTGGTGCAGAAAGGTAGAGGGAGGGAGGAGGAAGAGAGAAAAAGAACAAAACGCGAACCATAAAGAGGCATCAAGAGCTGGCCAAATAGCTCAGTGGATTAAAGTGCCTGCAAGCAGGTGCAGGGGCCGGGGTTCGATCCCCGGGACTGCCATGCTGGCCCCGCCCCTAGAGTGCACTGAGATGGCAATTGAGACTGGGTGTGGTGGCGCACGCCTGTAATCCCAGTTCTTAGGAGGCTGTAAACAGGAATCACTACAAGTCCGATCTAGCATGAGACCCTGAACACCCTGTAGACCTTTCCTTAAAATAAAGAAGAAAAAGAAAGAAGCATCAAACCATGTTCACACTCATGAAAAAGATCAGAGAAGGAGAGAAGGTAAAACAAACAAAAGAAGAATAAAAACAAAACCACCACCACCACCACAATGAAAACAAGAGAGAAAGAGGGAAAATGTCTCTGCTGTCAGAGGTAGAAGGCGTGTGGAGACCGAGTCCTCACCTGTGCTGATCTGTCCCAGCAAGCTAGCAGTGGCTTTTTGGTGGAGTAGTGGCTAATCTCAGTGAGCCTGTGCCTTCTTGCCCAGCCCCGACGCCTTCTTGCCCAGCCCCGACGCCTTCGGCCTGCAGTCCTCAGCTCACCTTCCTGGGGCCTGAGCACAGCTGGGAGGAGCCTGCAGCCGCTCTGAGCTCTGTCGCCCCTCTCCAAGATGGCTCCCAGCCGATGGCTGTCCTGTGTGGGACGACTGAGGCCCCAGCATTCACCGCCAGCTAGTGTAGCCCCTCACGTCCACTGCTCCCCTCCACCTCTGTGTCTCTGTGTGGAGGCCCCTACGGTCACCATCAGTCACTGTGTGTCTGCATGTTTGAACCACTCCTCTGGCACAGAGAGTCCTGTCTCACTGTGGGAGAATGAGACAGGACTTCTCATTTTTCACTGAAGTTTCTCTCTTCACTGTTTCCATGGGCTTCAGTTCATGCCTCAGATCTTCCTGGGTCCAGGGGACGCTCTCTCTTCCTGTTTTCTTGCGCTGCTGTATTCCAGGGTCTGGATGGCAGTGCTCAGTGAAGCTCTTTCTCTGCTGCTCAGCTCTCGCCCCTCTCAGTGCTCCCTCCCCTCATACGAAGTTGAGAGGGAAGTACTGCCTTATTTCATGCTTGAGAAAATGGAGTTGAGCTGACTGTTCTGCAGTTCGCAGCTAGTAAGTGCCTACTGGAAATCCAGTTGAGAACTCTGACAGTTAAGTATTAAACTCTTGATAGTAAGCTCAATGTTTGTGTTCTGTAACTTGTATTTTTCTATAATGAAACAATAATATTTGCTTCCCTTAAGTGTAATACATTTCTATCCATATGACTAATATGCAGTTCATTTTATAATGAATTAGAGCATCAGAAAATAATTCATACCAGGACTTAGACTTTAGTAAAATATGTTTGAATGTTCAAATATTTGATATCCATACACCTTTTCAAGCATAGTTTTTAATACGATCTGTATGTAGCCCAGGTTGGCCTTGAACTGCCTGTAGCCCATGCCAGCGTGGAATTCACAGGGCTGGCGATATAGCTCAGCAGACTAAGCTTGCTTAGGTAAGCACAGGGCCCAGGGTTCGATCCTTGGCACTGCATGCCCCACCAGCCCCGCTCCCGGGCGCACTGAGCTGGCGATGGAGTCTGGGCATGGTGGCGCATGCTTCTAATCCCAGCACTAGGGAGGCAGAAATCAGGAGGATCACTAGTGGTCCGAGCTGCATAGTGAGACCCTGCACCAAAAAAAAAAAAAAAGGAATTAACGATCCTCCTGCCACATGTTCCTAAGTGCCAGGTTACAGGTGTGAGCCACATGTAACACTAGCACGAGTGTTACATAGAACTTTCTCCTGTGCAGTGTCGGAGGGGCAGCGTGCTATGGTATATGGAATGCTTTTCAAACTTTAATCGCCCAAGAATTGCTGGGAATTTAATTGCTTCTTCTGGCCCAGAAAGCTCTCTAGGTAATTCTGGGAGAGGTGGTCCTGGCACAGTATTTGGAAATACCTGTGGGAATATCCACTCCAAAGGTAGTGGTGGTGATTTGACCTGCAGTGCCTCTTCAGTTCCTGGCATAGAACTTGGGACATAGTAAATGTGCAGAATATTCTATTCATAGGTGATGGCATGGCCAGCAACTAAGAAGCTAGGTAATAATCATTGTTTTCATCATTCAACCAAATATTTCTTGTATATTGTAGGAGTTGGCAGATATGCAAGGAATGGACAGTTCTCTTGAATTTATTTGATAGACTAATAGTAAAGGTCTAATTATTCCCTTGTAAAATGTTATAAAATAAAAATTAATATTGAAGTCAGGCTTGTGCAATCTTTTTCCTTCAAATTAAAACTTCAGTTTATTATTATTTATTTATTTGGCACAGGGTCTCACTACGCAGCTCAGACTCGTAATGATCCTCTTGTCTCAGCCTTCCCAGGGCTGGGATTATAGGCGTGAGCCACTGCACCCGGTTTCTGTGGCTGGCTTGGTGCGTGGCCGGCGTGGCATGTACTACCAGAGATCGAACCCAGGCCCTTGCACTTGCCAGGCAGGTGCTTAGACTGCCGAGCTATCTCCTCCAGCCCTAAAACTTCATTTTTTTATTTGAATGAGGCTTACAGGGCAAGGAGATGGACTGATTATTATTTGCTTTATTATTCTCCAAAATTCTACTAGCCAGTGCAGCTACAACAGCAGCTATTTGATTTAAATGAATTTAAATTGAACAACAGTAGAAATGTAGGTCTTTGGTGGCATCCGCTGCATTTCAGAGGCTTACTAGCCGCCTGCGGCTGTAGTGGCTGCCTTTCCGCAGTGTGGATGTGCAGCATGTCTGTCATTGCAGAGTGAGGCAGGCAGTGGTGCTGTGGAGTCCACAACAGCAGGGCAGTGATTCTCTCGTGGGCTTGATCTGTAAGTTGATTCTGAGGCAAAGATTAGCCTTGGATTGAGGCTGCCACTTCAACTTTACTTTTTTTTTTTTTTTAATGGTACCGGGGATTGAACTCAGGATCTTGTGCTTGCCAGGCAAGTGCTTATTCTCCTGAGTTATCTCCCCGGTCCCTTTTTAAAAAATTTTGAGACAGGGTTTTGCCACGTTGTACAGGTGGAATTCAAACTTGCAACCCTCTGGCCTCAGTGTTTCTCAGTGCAGGATTATAGACATGTGCCATGGTACCAGGTGCTGTCTGTGTCTGTCTGTCTCTCTGTCATATGTGTACACACATACACACCTTGCTGATCCTGAAGAGTGAACTAGATTTTCATATGGAACTATGTCCCCAGAACTTTTTACACTTTTTATTTTGAAACTGGGTCTCAGTAAGCCATGAGGGTTGAACTTGAGATCCTGCTGCCTCCGCTCCCCAGAGTGCTGGGTGTATGGTATGTGCCACCACACCCGGCTCCATTTCAACTCTTTCGGGCTTTAATACCTTTGACTGGAATAGGCCCTGTGCCATTATTGATTTTCTTTATGGCAACTAATTCTAGGCTTTTTTTAAAACCTCAGAGTAAGACATCATTGGGGCTGGAGAGATGGCTCAGTGGAATAAGCGCTTCCCTGGCAAGCGCAAGGGTCTGAGTTCAATCCCCAGTTCCGCAAAAAAAAAAAAAAAAAAAGAATAAGACATTATTCTTCATTAAGTATAGCTCTGTGTGTGTGTGTGTGAGAGAGAGAGAAAGACAATTCTACATTCTCTTAATTCAATATTCATTGTCTACATTAAACTGTAATTTGAAACATTATACTCTAAATTTGTATCTAATGATTTTCTGGGAACGAAGAAGAGTTGGATTTCATCTATGTTAAGTAGAATTTATAACATTTCCATTAAATAATCTATTTATAGAAGCTAAATTCAAGAGTAAAGTTGAGTTGGCCCTGTTGGGCAGAATTCGGCTGGGTAGGACAGCGTGGGTAGACGGGGGTTGAGACACGGTCTCACTGTGTTCCAGGCTGGCTTTGAACTTGCTCTGTTGTCCAGGCTGACCTTGAACTAGAAGCTCTTCTGCAGCAGCCTCCCAGAATGCTAGGATTATGGTTATGTGCTACTGTGCCTGGCTTTTTCTTTCAAAAAATTAGTTACAATGTATTTGTGTTTTGGTAATTGAAAAACTAATAACAATAGTTTCAGTATTTTTTGTTCTTGTTAATAGGGCTGGGGAGATAGCTGGGTGGTCTGAAGCACCTGCCTGGCTAGTGTGTGGACCTGGGTTTGATCCCTGATGCCGCCTCCTGTGCCATTCCTGCCAGCCGCCAAAACTGGGCGTGGTGGCGCATGCCTGTAATCCCAGTGCTGGGAAGGCGGAAGCAGGAGGATCACTGTGAGTCTGAGCAGTGTAGCGACACCCTGTACCAAATAAATAAGTGATTTTTAAACAAAAATCTATTGTAAATTGTGTAGCACTCACTACACTCAGATGAGTAATACATTTTTTTCAGAGTCAAGAAAAGATACATGGCTGGGAATATTACTCAGTGGTAGAGTGCTTGCCTGGCATGCTTGAGGGCCTGGCTGCCATTGCCAGTACCGCAAAAGACACGGAAAGAAAAAAAAGAAAGGCTGTGCAGTTGCTTTGTTGCTTAACCTTTGTTTTCTGAACACAAGTACTGTATAGAGTTAGAGGTGGATCCTGCCTTTTCCCCCTTTGGGTCTGCTGTTGTCCCTTTCTGAGCAGAAGTAGCAGAAGAGCTGCCGCTCTGTCCCCGGTCGGTCGTGGGTTAGTGGGACTAAAGTCGCCAAAAGCCCGCTGTGCATTACTCCTGTTTCCTTCAGCGAGCTTCTGTCTTTCCAGGTCACTTACTTCAGCCTGTGGTACTTCAATAAGCAGAATCAGCGCCGCTGGGTGGATTTAGAAAAACCCCTGAAGAAGCAGCTGGATAAATACGCACTGGAACCTACCATCTACTTTGGAGTGGTGTTTTATGTGCCTTCGGTTTTACAGCTGCAGCAAGAGATTACCAGGTGAGAAAGTACATGCCTCTTATTTTCGGAAAATAATCTAGGGAGATTAGAAAAGTAAAACTAAGGTTGAAGGTAGGAGATAAAAGTCTGAAACTTTGCCCTCGCAAGAGCCCCACCGCTGGCCTGCCTATTATGAGCGCCTCTGTTATGCGGTATGCGCAGAGCTTTACTGCCTGTCGGTGAGTGATGGGCTCACTAGGCAGCAAGAAATGATTCGGGAAAACGATGTTTTTACCCCGGCTGTAAACTCTTCTTGTCCTGGTGTTATCTTTTATTGTTTACTTTCTGAGCCTTTGTAAGAAGCGAGAGAAGAGATTTTAAAAATGTAGTCTCAGGATCTGTGTTCCTCCCCCTGACTCTAGAAGCTGAAGTTATCCACAGGGAGAGAAAGAATGTGTGAGAAACCACAGAGCAGGCGAGGGAAGGTGTTGCAGTCAGAAAGTGCTGGCCAGCAGA